ACTTCATGTGTTGGGCAGGAATTACTTCTGTAGACTGAGAAGCCCATTCTGTCAGTAAGGTCTGAGTCATAGGCCATGGTTTTTCCTTTCTCTGTGCAGAGAGACCAGACGCTGCCTGGCAAACAGAACCACTTTTCAAAAACTGCAGTGCAAGCTGCTAGAGGTACTCGTGGTAATATTAAGCGTGGTGTGCTCCTCACGTGACAGTTACAGTGCACTGAAAACAGGAGCTTGCTTAGCAAGAGCACCAGGAGCTGGGAGTCCTGTGCTGGGCTTGGAGCGGTTCCAGCCTCTTTTCCTGCAGCAGCTGGAACACAGACCAGGGATGTGCATCCTACGTCACACTGAGAGCAAGCATACAGCCCCAGCAGCCGCTCCTTCTCTCAGGGGTCCAGCTGGGGGATAAGAGCACCCTCCTCTAGACACACTGCTCTGCGCCAGCAGACCTTAAAGGACACCGCCAAAGCCACAGGGCTTTCTTCTTAAAAGAGCATATTACTCGTTCCATGTTAATTTATACAATAGTGAGTGTGCCGGGCCTTGCAAACCAAAGCTGAAAGTGTAAAAGTTACTAATTCTCAGAGAGGACTTTGCATTAGTCTACTGAGGTTATAACTTCATACCCAGCTGCACAGACTGCACAGGGGTCAGTTGAGGCAGGTGCAGAACAGAGCGCGTGGTGTGTGCTCTCTTTTCCTCCGACGCCTCTGCCTATGGCTGCGCAATACAGCATGATTTCCAAAGCATGCATCAAAATGGCTTTTTTACTAAACAGACAAATCTCTCTGGCTTCAAGACTCTGCTTTCTGAGATTATCTCAATTCATTTACAAGAAAGCAGTTGTATTTCCCATCATTTATAAAAAGTTGTGAAATACTTACATCCTCTTTATAATAACATGCAGCTTTATAATAGGAAATCTCAATTTAAATAAACTACTTACAGATGCAAGTTAGAATTTATTCTTTCAAACTTCGGTTTGTCTGTTTTAATCAAGTTTTTCCTCAAGAGACCAGCTGCATTGGAAGGGCAAGGCTTCAGGTTGCATGAATTTCAGCACATCTAAACAATCTCAGGAACCATTTCCCACAGGGTATGATCCAGAGCTTTGAAACTGCAGCGTTACATTATGACACATAAACATGGACGGGCATCATCCAACTGTCTGAGTTTACTGAGGATCTTAGGTTGGTTCTGTATAAAAGTAAACTATCTTGGATTTCATACAATTTTGTATCACGTGGGAAATCCAAGCGAGTGACACAGCTCGAGCTTTCCACACATATCCTAACCCTGTATGGGAATGGCCTCGGAGGTTCAGAGCAGCACCCGCAGAACAGCCCAGCTCTGCTTTTATTCCACTGGGATGCAGCCAGCTTCTTAAAAACAATATAGTCATCTTTCATTCCCTTTGAACTACTTCTGAGTATAAGAGAAAGAAAAACAGAGATGCCACAGCACAACCGCACTTCAGTCTCTGCCAACATGAAACTCGGGACGTGAACTGGAGCGGCTCCAACGCGGACAGTCGCCACATCTAGGCTGTTCTGATTCAATGCCTCCAACAGCAGTTGTGTCCTGGCTAAAGTTGCAATAAAATTCATTTCCCACACAAGTCCCTTTGTTTCGAAGTTCCTTTTGCTACTACAAGCATTTATTAAAAGTGTTTTTTGTTCTAGGACACCAGCTCCGTATGAAAAACACGGGCTGGTTTATAGTTGTTGCTGTTGTTCAGTTCTCTGGAACAATATGTTCCTTAAAAATCCCCAGCCTGACCCCACACACTAAAAGCACCGCAGCACAAAAGGTTCTCCCTAATGTTTCTAAACAGAAAAATCAATTTTTGTATTTTTAGCACTACAATGAGAACCCCAAAGTCACGCCAAGTGCTGACAGTAGTTGTAAAAACCAGCTACCCCTGTGCCATGGTAGTAGTAAACTCTCCCCGTCCTAGCACACAGCAACCTCCAGCAGCAGAACAGCCTCCGGGAACTCTCTGTATGATCCTGCCCTCGCATGAGCTCTTCTGGACATTTATCCTGCTAAATGCCAAACCAGCAGAGCTGTGGTCTTTAGCAGAAACAAAGTGGAGGAGGACCAAAAGTACATCAGGACCAGAAACAGTAATGAACGCACACACTTTGCACAAGATGCACTTCCCAGCTGTGGCAGCTTTTTGCTAACACAGTGCACAACGCCGCCAAGAACCAGAGAAATATTCTCTGAGTGTTATGGCGTTCATCTTCCTTTGCAATAACACCGCAACACAAACCTGCCTCCAGAGAAGCTGCCATCTCTTGCCAGACCCTACAGCATTTATCTCAGCAATTTTCACACCCTTAGAAAGGATTTCTAGCTCCTTGCTCTAAGTATTTCCCCCACCAGCCTTGCTCTCAACAGCAACCACTGCTTTCCAGAGCACCTGCATGAGCCCCAGCTCACCCCAGACCCATTTGAACTCACCAGAACAGAAGAAAACACAGACTCTCACGTAAAATACTGTTCATAAATGCTCCTTCTGAATTTTGAAGAAATAGAGGGCTCAGCTCCCTCTTTTCAGGAACATTCTGCAGTAACAGCTAGCGATGCCCAGCTCCAGGTTAATGCCTGGCACCTGCTGATTAAACCCTGTTCAGGCAATCCACCCCACACAGGTGCTGCCCCAACAGCCTAACAAATACTTAAATAGCTGGAAATTTAACCCTTTTTTCCCCACCTCAAACAGCACACCATGCACTAGCGCAGCCAAAGCTGTGCTCCCGAGGGCAAGCCTGGCCCCAGCACAGTGCCTGGGGTGTGCCTGTTCACCCACGGAAGGAGGGGAGAATGTCCTACTCACCAAAGGTGAAGATTTCCCACGGAAGGGCTGCAGGGCTGGGAATGTGCAAACCACCACACTGCACCTCTGCTGCTGCGTCCCTGAGGACTGCTTCATCCCATCGCGCAGCTGGATCCCGCTCAGGACAGCACGCACGGCACAGTCACGCTTTCGGCTTGGGAAAGCACCTTGCGATCAACAGGGCTCTTTCTGAAACAAGCAAACTATCAAATCAACTCCTCATGAAGTATTTTGGCTCTGAGATCACAGACCATTACTTCTATCAATAATAAATTTGCTCCTCAGTCAGCAGGGGTCCATAAAGGATTTCCATTTGGCAAAATACACCTGGCCACAGCAACATTTGGTTTTTTTCCCCTCCACCTAGCCTAGGAATCCCACCCCTGGCTTGAGAAAAATGCAAATTGCACTTCAGGAGCATACCAGTTCCCCCTGAAACCTTCTGACAGAAGGGTATGAATGGCGCTGAACAAGTTTTGCATAACAAGTGTTACTGCTCAATATACCGAGCACTTAGCACAGCCGTTACAACTGTAGCCTTCGCTTCACCGCATCATCCTTCTGCTGCACAAAACATAAACATGTAACTCTACTGATACCACCAGAACCATATCAGAATAAAAATGCAGAGAGCACAGAAAAAGTCACAAACACCAAGAGTACTTTCAACGCTTTGGCCATGGCACCTCTACGTGAACGTACACGGAACGGCAAGAAGCCAGTACTACACCGACGCTCTCAATTACAAATGAAATTTTATTTGTCACACAAACTGAATTTTCTCATTCCAAATCTTTACTGAAAGACATAGTAGTTAAACGCTTAGAAAAACCAAGAACTGCTCTAGTAGGCAGCTAGAGAAATGTACGTATCAATACCGATATGGAATGTAGATTTCAACTCAGAGATCACAACATACAAAGAGGATTTTTATGCAATACAGACTTACAAAACAAGAACAGTTCTTTTCACAAATATTTTCACAGAATTCTGCACAGCAATCTTGTAGAAAAGTAGATTTGTGCAACACCAAAATAACTTATTGTTCCTTAGTATAAATTATTTTTCCATTTCCTAAAAGAAAGAGGTAATTGAACATGTGTGGGCAGGAGCTGACTGGATTTGGTGGTAGCAAAAATACAGAAGAGACTGTTGCTATATGCAGAAAAGGAATATGGCATGTGCTACAGGACTGCAGGGGTCAGTTCTGGGAAAAAAGAAAAGAAAGTCGCCTGCAAGTCCAGTGCTGCTGCAGGTGCAGAGCGGCTGCGCCCCAGCAAACACCTGCTTTAGTGCTTTCACAGCCAACCAGCAAAGTGTGCTTTGGTACTTGCACCATGAAACAAATCCCTGCCTCTGGGGGTTTCTAATCGGAGTTTAGAGGCTCCAAATAGCCTTTCTGATCTTGAGGAACAATCCACATTTTGGTGTGCTTTGAAGGAGGTGCCAGGTAGAAACTAGAAGGGTTCAGACAGGATGTAACACAAACTCCACTTCCGATTTCTCTCTCTGAACGGCACAAAACTACAACTGAAAAAGAACTATCTGCCTAGAAACATGGTTGAATAGTAACATTGATGGAAACAATTTGCAAAGTCTAAAATTACATTAACCATAATTTAAATATTACTGTTGATTCCCAGAAACGTCAGTGCTGATGGAGTACAATCATCTGGAAAAGTACGAGACAAAGTGTAGCACGGAGAGCACAGATTAAAGTTCCCCAAACACGGTTATTCATTTCTGTTATGTTAAAATCATATATTCCTCGAGGTTATAGATAAAGCTGCAGATGGAAAATCCGTTTCTTCGTAATATAGCTAGAATGTGAGTTTGAACTGTCTTTAGGTTTCTTTTACATACAGGGATCAAAATAGACTTCTTATTATGACTAAAAATATAATTTTTTTAACTACAGAACCCAGCAGCCATTTTCTGCTTTTTTGCCCTTCCCCCAAAAAAGTCAAGCAAGGTCTACAAAAATAGCAATTAACTTTAAAAAATAGGTTGCTTCTTCCAGCGTATTTAAGTTACATTCAGCTGTAATAGAGCTATTTATACGGAACAGTGTGGTGGCGAGACACGCAGGGAGGCGTGCCGGGTCCGGTTTCCTTCTGACCACAGCTGCCCACGTTGGTGCTGATCTTGCTCGCCGTGAAGATCAGTATCTGGTTTGATACTCGTGGTGCCAACGATTGAAATCATTGTAGAAAACCACTATGCTCCCAGATGCCATGCCGGTCATTATACACCTACGGAAGGCACAATAGCGGGTTTGTTAGTTCAGATATACGAGTCAACGCACCAAAGAGTGACACCAATAGACGCACACGGACCCGAGCCAACGACCAACGTCCACCGAAGACAGCCAGAGCTGGCAGTGCTCCACCGACCAGCAAAGTCAGGCTTTGGGGGCTCCCATCTTGGGCTTCCAAGGACTCCAGCAAGCTGGATTTGGCTAAAATTTCCGTCTGCACCAGCTCTGACAGCAGATTGATGGATCACAAAACACACAAAACACCACGTGACAGACTGTATGGTCAGCCTGAAGCTACAGGTGAGAGTCAGACAACAAAACTGTTTCCCAGCATCGCTGTCCTGCAAGATTTCCTGAGATTATTTTTGGGCTTGGTTGGTTGTTTTTTTGGGGGGCATGGGAGTGGGATGAAGCCCTGGTGAAGCAGCAGAGTGAAGGAAGGTTGGAAGAAGTGTTCATTTCAGTTTCACCTTCCCCATTTAAGCGCATCATTTACCTGAAGGTATTGGATATGGGCGCAGGATTTCGGTCGGCAACGTTGGTGTTTGGGTTTGAAAGCAATCTGAAGGCTTTGATGGATTGAAAGTCCCTGAAAGCAATCACTGTGCTTGCTCACTGAGGCACTCCTTTCTGAACTCCTTACCGTTGGCTTGCTACTAGAGATAACTGAGGTCTGTCTGAAAAGCCACGGCCCTGCCACAGCACACATTACAAGAGTTTCTCAATCGTCTTTTCTACTGGCTCCAAGTTTGATGAAAACCAAACATATGAGGACATACAAAATTCTGGCATTTTAGGAAAAAAAAAGCCTTAGAATGAAAAAATAATATTCAGAGTCAAAAGCTGTCATTTTTCCTTCAAAACAAAGACTAAATATGAGATCATCAAAACACCGCATTTTGATTGTATCACACTATTCCAGGAGCACCATTTTGCTTGTTTCTGTATTCAGTTAAAACTTCCTTTTTACACACTCAAACACATACATTCATGCATACCAAATAAATTACTGTCAGTAATTACCTGCAATTACTGAGCAATTACTCAGGAAAATACTCTGAGTGTATCTCTTTGGAGTTTTGGTGCCTTCAAACCCAAAGCCAACAGCTTCCTAACTTGAGCACGTGGATACATTTACAGATGTTCATATTAAATTTCAATTTATTGACATGCAAAGATTTGGTGGACACGCCATTAATTACAGTTTAATGATTCTCTAAATGCAGAATGCAGGAACTTCACGAAGCAAATACACCTAAGGAAACAAAATTCTAGCCTGCAAGCTGAAAGTGTGCAAATAAAATGGTAAACATTCATCTTGTAAATAAACTCTATTTTTGTGATAAACACACAGAAGGACTTTGAAGTACAGACGCATTGGAAAGCGTAATGTCAAAATGCAGTAAAAATATTAACTGATAGTCTTCAGTAGAAGGCATTTTCAAGGAGGGTCATGTTTTATGTGGATAAAATAACTGCTCTAGAAATGAAAATTAGTATGTGCAAAATATGGATTTATGGGAGGAATCCTATTGTGCAACTATTCTGACTGTTCTGTTTTTAACATAAAGCTCTGGAATTAGGGATGTGATTTGTATCATAAGTGAAAGAAGAAAATGAATAGCTCATGTGTAACCTTCCACCTCCCTGTGACCGGTACTGTACACTGGCACAGGCCAATAAATCAACATAGCCTGAAAGGCTGCGAAGTAACATTTCTTGAATCTCTCTTCATTCCTTCAAGAACTGAAATCCTGAAAAATATTATCTGCACTAAAGATGACATGTTAGAAAGAAACTGACACGAGCACAGGACTCTCAGTATAATCATCAGGACCTGTGATCCACCGAAAATCAAAATCAGAAGAAAAACAGAAATACAATGTAATTGTAAGTAGATATTCTCTGAAATTCTTGCGAAGACCAGACTTTGCTCTGACCTTTGGTCGTACGACAGGGCCATGGATCGGATTCCAGCGTCACACCCTGGATAGGCGAAGAGCCGCTTGAGGTCCCACATCTGCCACACCATGACAACGCCGTTGTCTCCGCCTGTGAGCAGATACTGTCCATCGCGACTCAGCTGAATGGCCTAAGGGGAAACCACAGGGATATCTGTCAGATAAATATGTTGCTCTTATTCTTCCTCTTTCATAAAAAGTTTCATATTGACAGCTGAATGTCTAGGGAGACATGATAGCAATCCAAGCTTTTGGGAAGCGGTATTATTGTTATGTTATTCTACAGAGCAAGAGAATTAATGTTATTATGCACAAGTCTCTTTGTTTTACCTCATTTGCGACATATTCCATATTTCAAAGATCTAATACGAGGCTAGATTTACAAGATCCAGCAGCACTGGCACTACAATAGAGGACCTGACATCCCCCCCCAGTGTTTCATACCAGCCTAGCAGAAGCCATCCTCCTTTCCTGTCTGTCAACGTGCTGAATGATGGAGGGAACTGACATGTCATACAAATGACAAAAATTAATATTAGACCAGTGTTTTTAGATTCCTGCTCTGGATTAATAAGATAATGATCCCTCTTAACAGGGACTGTGTTTCCTTTCATCATCTATCCTGAAACTACCTGGGACAGATCCAATGGTTTATATCCTGATTTTGCATGGATCACGGGGACTGATGGCAAACCTACACTGGAAATCTTGATTTGGGACCCAGATCAGGGAGAAAGATTGGATATCCTTGGTTTTCACATCAAAGATTTCTTGAAACAGGAGTCTTTACTCTATTTTGATCTTTCTTGCATTGGAAAAAAATCATGATAGATACAGAGCATCTGGAAGAACAGCAACTTTCCTCAGTTACCTGATGATTATACCAGATGATACTATCAGATATTAAAATTCCTGGAAGCATGAGAAATATTCCTTAAAGAGGGATTTTGCCAGTTTAAATAAGCCAAAATGTTGTTTAAGAAAAACTGACCTGTAAATTCTATTAAAATAAGAAGGGTTTTCCAGAAAAGCAAAACAAAAAAGTTGAATGTGGAGTGACGTCAGCATGAGCTACGACCAAGATCAAGACCCCTAAACCTACAGTTTGGACCCTTATGAATAACTTGGACCATTATGAATAACTCCTGTAAGCCCAAACCTTTTCCTATACTCTCTCCTCCCATTTCCAGATGCCTCTTCTCAGTTCTTTTCCTGACTTCTAATCCCCAGCTTGATTTCTGGTTTTTCCCTTCACTGCTCCCTACTTTCATGCTTGCACCCAACACTCAGCACAGCAGCAGCCCATCATCCTCTTCAGTTGAGCACAAAGAAAGAACAGTGAGAAACAACTTCGCTCCTTGCTTTCTGGATTTGCTGTTATAAAAAAAAAACAACAAAACACCAAAGAACTTTGCTACTATGCAGCACTATTGTATAGTACTAAACTCCTGATCCTACCTAATCTTTAACTCCATCGCTTCTACTTCCAATTCCTATTTTTCCTTCACTTCTTTCTGCCTCTTCTTGTCTCTTCTCAGTGTGTGATGAGTTCCTACATTCCCATCTCCACCTCTCTGTTCCTGCTGCTCTTGCAAACATCTCTTTCATTCTGTCCTTGGTTCCAGCCTTGGTTCTGCTCTTCTTTCTCCTCTGCTTCCCCATCAGTCCTTCCCCTTTCTCATCCCATTTCTTGCCGCGGCATTTCTTTGACCCTTGCTCCACTTAACCTGAGATTTGTCAAACAGCTAAATTTGGGCAGCTTTTCAACAAAACAGACATTCTTCACACCAGGACTGACTGGTGATAAATTTCAGCTTCCTGACCCAAGGCAGAGAGACACACAAGTTTTAAGAACAGATATTCAGAGCAATGGCTTTTATACTCCAAACACACACACACTGTACAAAAGGGCTGATCCACTTGAACTGGAACATTGTCCCTGGAAGGCAAGGACATTGCCTCAAGATGATACTCTACATGCAAAATTCCAGCTCAAAGATGTAAATTTAGGAAACAGAAGAAAGCACTGGTGACAGGACCTTGCAAACATCTCTTTTGGTGCTGAAGTCTACAAGTATTCTGGCACTTGCAATCTCTGCTGCTACAGTTTTTCCATGTGCAAAACTTGCCACATACTGGGATCTGAAATTCCTCGGGAAAAGGAAGTTGTTGCTTTTTAATATACAGAATTTATAGTGTGGGCACCACAAAAACGGGAGAAACTAGAACACAAAAATGTTATATACATAGAACATTAAAGTGTTTATCCACAGTGCTGACAAGCCAAGAAACCAAAATATACAAGATACTACTGTGTGAACAGCGCTAACTGGAGTCAGACGCATTGCACATCTGTGGGTTTTGTGTTGCTGTGCTCTGCTACATCCTTTAAGAATCAGATGATGTGCAACATGTACATTAAGGTAGAGTTTCTATAAGTGACTTTTCTATTATCAGTTTTGAGTGTTTACTGGAACAACTCCCAAGTAATCAGAATGAATCACTTTGCTAAAGTTTTATTTTACACAATTGCTTTAAAATTAATGTAATTTAAATACAAACATTCTGCAAACAAAATATTATAACACTGAAAAAAATAGATGCTAAATGTGTTCCAGCTGTGTTTTGAATTAAGATGACAACACATACGTGTACATGTAGAAGCAATATATAGCAGAATATAGGGGGTTCTTTCCAACCATATCTAACTATGGAAAATGGAATAGTAACCAAGGCTAGAGCTGAGTATTCTGAGCTGAAGCTTCTGCAAAAACCCAAATGCTCCAACCATAAATTGTTTCTGTGATTGTTTCTACCAGCCTACAAAAATCTGCTAAGCACCTCCCAAAGCGCTTCCCCCCAAAGAGCTTCAAAATTAATTTAGAGACCTTCTTAGAAGAGTGTAATAACTCAGCAAGAAAGGGGGAGAAAACAAACTGAGACAATTTCACAAACTGTGAAAATTATCTAGGACTTGCGTGCACTAAGTAGGTGATCATGAGATCTAACATACCACCCACAATTATTAAAAAACATTATTCATTAGAAGCAAAAATCAATACAGGCTGGTTTTTTCTTCTCTCCAGCACTGGCAGTCTCCTAAGGGTATTTTCAAATTGCAATGAAGACCGTGACAAATAATTATTTGCTACACTTAGAAAATTCAGCTGATGAAAATCCATTAACCTTATGGTCATGGTTCAGTTGGATTTTATACTCAAGGCTTTCACTGAAGAAATGCTATATTAAAAGGCAAATTAAAGCCATTAATCTTTAACTCTTCCCCTACCTGCAAAATGCAGGGGGGTTTGTGATCTTTTGATTAAATAAAGTACGGGCTTTGAACCCTTACTAATACCTACGCAATTTTACTAAGTCATTTGCTTGTCAAGAAGACAAGATGTTGATTTTTTTTTGTTTATTAAAAAAATCCTCAGCTACTTGCCTATATATATATATATATTTATGTATCTGAATGAAGGAATGAATGGAAGGAAAAGGTCACCCTGTCAACATTTCAGTTCCCTGACATGCCCTTCAAGATTTCCCAAACTAAAGGATGCTTTTACTCCCAAGTACTCCATCTGGTATAGAAGACGACATGAATCAGTTCAACTGTTCTGCTTTTCCCCAGTGTAGTTTATCTGCGATCCTGCTAGGTATGAAACCGAAACAACTCTGCAACTAATCTCTCTCACAACACGAACTTCAGGCTCTCAAATAACCCCCAAAGTGCACAATTTCAGCGAGGTTCTAAAAGCTGCGTTTCTGACTTGGATTTCCTTGGAAAGTCTCAAAAACTTTGCACAAATCCCTTTTAGCATCTGGGATTTTTTGCAAGGCGGTGCTTTGTCAAAAGGCAAGAGCTGACACGGTGACAGCCCTGGCTGCCAGCAGCGGGAGGCTTGTGGGCACTTCCACTTTTCAAACCAGACTCAGGAAAGGAAAATAAATTGGTTCCTCTGGGTGAAACAGCATACGGTCTTTGTTTAGGGTAAAATAACTTTACTTCTCCGAACAAGCAGACTATTTAGAGTGAAGTTACTCATTAAGATATCTAAACATTACACGGTAGATGGACGGCGATATGCCTAAGCTCCGCTGAGCACTCCAGGATGTAAAACAAAAACAGGTGGAAGGCATTGATTAGACTCTGCAGTTCCCCAGAGCGCCTGCCATTTTTTCTAGCACGAGAATAGCAGGAGGAAGAAAATCAGAATGTTGTTCCAAACGTCACTATTGAAAAGGGCTAGTTTCCTCAATAACGTGCTGAAATACAGGTCCATCATGCCATCGAAAAACAGAAACCGGAATTTTACACTAGGGATTCAACACTTATGACCATAGGAAAATATATACTAGAGATTTACATTACAGATCCAACACTTACCACCTTTTCCTTGCCTTTTCTATCCTCCTTGAGCAAAAAGCAAAGCAAAGTGTCAGCACAGCCCGCGGGTAGGTACTATTCATTTTCAGAGCCCCTACTTTAATCACGCCGTTGCCACTTGCCTCCTAACATGATATAGCGCAGAAGCACTGGGAAAGCTGGTGTAGATTGTTTAAGCGTAAAGCCCAACTGGGAGCACTGGGAGAGAAAGCAAACAAAACAAACCCAAATAAAACCCAAACCCCTGGCCGTATGTAATTCTGGCCCTCAGAGAGCAGAACTTCCATTGCCTCTAGCAGCGTTCCGAAAGCTGTGGGTACCGACTGAAACACTACAGAAATTGTTTTAGCCGGCCAGGGATTTCTAGATATTTTACAGATTTGCTGGCCTAGCTGACAACATAATCACAACTGAAAGTGACAGATTATCAACATTATTATTGCAAAAGGAGAAAAACCCTGTGATATGTATTTGCTTTATGGAAAGAACCAAGATGAAGGGTAGGCTGAAAATCTCCAAAGCATTTGCACAAGGACAGCCAAAGGTACCATTTCAGAGACTTGAGGAAAGGTGAAAAAAATTGAACCAAGAATCTACATTAATTTGGAAAAATGGCTTGGGACAGAAATATACACATTCCTCCTTAATTTCCCCAGTCTCCAAAGCACACTTGTGGCTGCCCCAGCATCCAAAGCTGGAATGGCCTCTCACCCCTGCAGACAGCACTCGCACTATGGAAAGGAGACCTACACAGGGAGTTATTTCTGCATATTCCTCCATCAACCTATCTGACATTTTGAAAACATAAGGGATGCTGGATTAGTAGAATATAGTACACAACAGAGTTTTGTAAGGTTTTAAGTGGAATATACTGAACTACACTGGGGACTGCAGTGGTAACAGAGCATTCAGTGTTCAATGCAAGCTATAAAATGGAAATGATGAAGACCGAAATTCTTTCAAATATATCGACACATTCTTCCATCTTACGAATAGAGTCAAGAGAGGAACACAAGCAAATTTTAAAATGCTCACAATTTTGCACAACACCTGAAATAAGAATAATTCTGTAAAACGAACATGAGGACAAAGAGGCATGTTCTTCCTGATCCAAATAAAGCAGAAACTTTTTGAGAGTTTTCAACTCAAGCGTAGTTGCTGGGCTCTTCCATCAGATTATGAAAGTCAGCTTGGATGTGCAGTACTGCTATATGCTTACAACAACAGAAGTCTCCCCTGGCTGATGGCGAACAGTTAAATACTTTTATGTGGGAAACACTTCTTTACTGTGAGGATGACCGAGCACTGGCAAAGGTTGTCCAGAGAGGCTGTGGAATCTCCATCCTTGGCGATATTCAAAAGCCACCTGGACATGGTCTGGAGCAACTGGCTGTAGCTGGCCCTGCTTCAGCAGGGGGGCTGGACCAGATGAGTGCAGAGGTCCCTTCCAGCCACAACCATTCTGGGATTCTGTGCCTCTCAGACCACGACTACTGGCATAGAGACTGTACCTTAAGATAATTCAGGTAGCCTGAATGCCGACCCAGCAATGTGATCTTGCTTCATGTCTTTCTTGCATTCTCTAACTTGCTAGTAGATTTGGTAACACTTGTTCATTTTTTTTCCCCTTCCCCTTTCCTTCCCCTTCCTTTCTCATTCAAGGAAAAAGTAGGGATATTTTTAATTCAAGGGAAGTATTCTTCTGACATTTTTGCTTCCTTGCTGTACAGCTGGCAGGTTCTGCTCTGCTTCATAGGTATTATTTCATAGGAACTGTCAAAAGACCTGCATTTTGTATTATCAAGTAATTTCCATAAAACCATATGCGTAAAATCCCTCCTGCGTAGTTTTGGACTTGCTTCATGTCTCTTGCAGATAAAAATGTGGAACCCAGCTGCCTGCTCAGCAAATGCCATAGAGACTTAAGGGCTAAAGAGCTGAGACATAGACATATGCCTGTAAACTTCCTGAAGCTCAGCACAACACGCGCTGTCTCAAGCTAAGACAACGGGATGTAGACAGAGATGCCAAAAATGGGAAAGCCAACATCCAAACCAGCACATCCACGAACGTCCTGCTGTCAGATTCACATGTAAAGAAGTAGCCCGACCTCTCCTGGTCAGCAAGGCAATGCCTACAGGATGTTCCTTACTATGTGAACAGACTTATTCTAAAATTAAAACCAGTACTACAGTCCCCTTACCTACAATTTTTTCAGAATGCTGCTATGATGGTCTGGGACCATATATTTCTATGGCCTGGCTATAGAGAGAAGCTCCACACAAGCCCAACATTGACAGCTTTTACTGACATTGGAAATGACAGTCCTTAACACGCATTTGAGTACGCTCACCTTTATCTTGTCATCTGTTTCCATAGTGGCTTGCAGTCTCCCGTTCACGCTGAATACACAGAAGAGGCCGTTTTCATAATATATGACACAGTGGCCTTCTCTTGAAGCTTGGATAAGTTTTGGTCTCAGGCAGTTCTGAGGACCTTCAAATGTTTGAGGACCTTCTAATGTTCTCAGTAGATCTCCATTCATAGAATGTATGAGACACGGTCCTTCTGTGAGACAGAATAAAATCTCTAGTTATCAATTTACATGCTTCTTTATAGACATCATATATTGAATAGTAAGCAATGACTTCTACTTAGGTAATCACTATTATAATACATTATAATGATTTTCACCATGTTTAAGTGGAAAGCCTGTGACTTTAAAGGTGCCAGAGAGTAAAATGATCAGCTTATTCCTTCAAAGCTTTATATTAAGGTATTTTAGAGCACCTATCAAAACTAGTTAGACACCTAACAGATGTTCTTTTGTGGATTTCCTTTTAAAACTGGTAGTAGTTAATTTTGAGAGCACATACATTTCTGTGAATCCTAAAATGAGATTATGGTGTATATCCATAGAGTGGTGATCAATGGCTCCATGTCCCGATGGAGATCAGTGACGAGTGGTGTCCCTCAAGGCTCCGTATTGGGACCAGTACTGTTTAATATCTTCATCAATGCTGGGGGATGAAGAGCTTGAGACCAGCCCTGTGCAAAAGGACTTGGGGGTACTGGTGGATGTGAAGCTCAGCACGAGCTGGCAGCATGCGCTCATGGCCCAGAGAGCCAACCACATCCTGGGCTGCATCAAGAGAAGTGTGACCAGCAGGTGGAAGGAGAAGATTCTCTCCCTCTACTCTGCTCTCGTGAGACCCCCCCCCTGCAGTGCAGCATCCAGCTCTGGGGTCTTCAGCACAGGAAGGACATGGACCTATTGGAGTGGGGCCAGAGGAGGACCACAAAAATCATAAGAGAGCTGGAGCACCTCCCATGCCAGGACAGGCTGAGAGAGTTGGGGGTGTGCAGCCTGGAGAAGAGAAGGCTCCGGGGAGACCTCAGAGCAGCTTCCAGTGCTGAAAGGGGGCTTTCAGAAAAAAGAAAAAAAAAAATGGAGACAGACTTTTTAGCAGGGCCTGTAGCAACAGGACAAAGGGTAATGGTCTCAAACTAAAGGAGGGTATACTCAGACTATAGATATAAAACTATAGATATAAGGAAGAAATTTTTTACAATGAGGGTGGTGAGGCAGTGGCCCAGGTTGCCCAGAGAAGCTGTGGATGCCCCATCCCTGGAGGGGTTCAAGGCCAGGCTGGATGAGGCTTTGAGCAACCTGGGCTAGTGGGAGGTGTCCCTGCCCATGGCAGGGGGTGGCACTGGATGATCTCTAAGGTCCCTTCCAACTGAAACCATTCTATGACTCTACAATATTCTCATATTAAGATTTTAACCTATACATGAAGCCCTAAATATCTGCTTTTTAATTTGTTTGGAAAAAATACCCAATTTGCATGTAAGCCACAATTGTTCATGCGCATAAAACAGAAACACACACAGATGCATATGGTGAGTACACCCAACTTTGAAAAAAGCGTCTCAAATTAGATCCTAATTCTAAGAAATTCCTTGTTTAAAATTAAGTCTGGGCCAGTAAATAGGAAAATTATAATATCCATGGAATCAACACCATTCTTGATAATTTGCCTGCCAAAAGCAGGTCTTTTGAGAACAAAAATGGGGCGTATTACAGGCTTTATAGCTAAGCTCAAAGAGCCAAAACAGAATTACTACAAATTTTCGTTGGTAGTTGATATATCCCCTTAATCAAACAAACAAGACAGCACACTCTCTTTCTCCTGAAACTAGTTTTTGCTTCCCTTGCTGAGAAGTTAGCCATAACAAACATTCTTCACCATCCTGGCAGTCAAGAGCTGTATCCAACTGTGTGCTATATGCAATTACACTGGATAAACAAACCAAAAGAAACAGTCACCAGTAGGCCCATGACAGGGAAACTGGTGTGGTTGCCTCTTCTGGTAAACGTCTGACTAATCCTGAGTTTTTACATGCTTGAAAAGGTTTCAAATTCTGTAGCAGCTAAACCAGGGTCAGAAAAAAAACCCACCATGAAGTTAATAAATTCAGCCACCTGAGACTCTATTCTTTTTTACATTAGGATTATAGCTTCATGAACAGAAGAAATGCCAACAGCTCCCTTACCTTTGGAACCACTTATTACCAGGCCAAGCTCAGCACAAATGGTAGCGCAGGTGATCTCATAGTCATGTCCTGTCAAAACAGCTCGAGGAGTTGCAAAATCACCTTCAATGAAAAAACAATAAAAGCAGTCCTTGGTTACAATCTTTTTCCAAAAACCCCTGCTTTCAATCACCGAAGTGTCTTCAGTTTCCTTGCTCTCCGGAGCTCGTGTGCCCCACAAATCACTCCTATGCTCCTGTTCGCACACGGCTGGTTGTTCTGTACGCTATGGACACCGTACAGCAGCAGTCTGCTGGAGGAATTCAGCCTGCACATTTACTCATGCACCTTCGTATAAAAGTCAGGTGTGCAGTAAGAACAAACAGAAGGTGGAGCTTTGTGTTTTCCCCTCTCTCCATCTCCCCCCTCTATTTTTTTTTGGAGGAAGAGATCTAAGTCAATTCCTACCTCTTCCTACAAGAGGCACAGTAAGCACAAGCGTGACTGAGAGGAGACACGTACAGTGCCAAAGATGAAGTAAAACACCCATTGACTGATTTTATTTTACTCCGGTAACAGTGTTGAAACCTCAGTCTGATGTCTAGTTCCTTGTAAGATGTGGTGCGTGGTACACCATCAGGCTGAATTTCAGCTGAGTTTTCAAAACCAAACCCGATATTAATTACCGCTGCTCCTATTAAGACATTTCCCTGCAACAAGAGCAAATAAAAGTGTATTTCTTCTGAGATTCTCTTTGTAATCAAGCATATATGGGTACCATAAAGTAAAAGAAATTGTACAACTGGGACATTTAAACGCAAAAAAATTTTTCTCCAGGTCAAGACACAAGAAGGGTAAGCAAATGCTCTGAAGCTCTTTAAATAGTTTCATAACTACACTCGCTGGTCATTCTCTGGATCTCCCTCTTTCAAGAGCACTAGCATTTCATGGAAATCATAATGGTATTTTTATATTACCATATAATTAGTTCATTCATAGCATTTCACAAAGCATTTAAAATATAAAGAATGTACCCTGGGTCACGTTATGTAGTTTCAAAAAGGATTAGATGAGTTTTTCAGCAGGCAGAAATAACTTCCCTCCATAATAAATGATGCTATGTGAGATACCAGCAAGGCACTAAAGCAGTGGTAAAATCGAACTTTCATCACTTTAAAAACAGGAGATAGGCTTGCAAAGAGACAGAGTAATAAGAGGGCCAGCTGACTCCATTTGTTACCAAGGTAACATCATTCAAATTCTATTTGGGGTTACAACTTTTCCAAAAGATACAAACAGCACAATGTCATCAGTTTGTCCATGTAGAGCCGTAGCAGTACCAGCAACACTGGTACTGGGTCTTGCTAGAAATTATGGAAATATATCAAAGCAGGTAGCTACCCAGAAATGTACAGCGAGAGACTTCTGTGGGAAAGAAGTGTAGATCTGGGCTTGCATAAGCAAAAGCTTAGCTTGCTCTCAATATTTTACATTTTTGCTCAGACCATTTCCAACACCTCCCAGAGTGACGGTGTAGCCACCAGGAATGTGAATGGCTTTTTAGAAAAGGTCATAATCCGTGAGAAACTATCAAATCAAGGACTTTGACCTTTCAACATTTCATTTATTCTGCAGTTACCATTATAATCTATTATTTATACCCAAATACAACATTTTGAAAAGTAACTAAATCTGTTTCTTCTTAGATATACACATACACACTATATACATGTGTCTGTGCACTTACACACACACACACACATATGCTATCAGCATTTTAAATCTGGAAATGCTTTGGAACAACTTGCAGAATCGTCCCTAAATCTCTTAATAAATAATCACTAAAAGCTATTGCTTTTGTCTTGTAGAAAGTTTAGCAAAACACACTCCAAGCCAGGAAGCATGGCAGACAGTTCAGAAGCCAAGGACAACCTCCCAACAAATTAGAAGCATAAGGGTTGACTTAATGACCCCCAGGTTCTTCTCAGGTGACCGATCCCACCAGCGCTCACAAACCTTTCAGTGAAAGTTTGCTCTATTGAACTTTCCTCCTCTAATCATGGGGCAGGCACCTTAGGAGATTCATAAAAGAGCACTGTGTAGACAAGCCACAAATTTGCAGTTTTAGGGGAAAACGTAACAGTAGCAAGAACAGTCTCATCAGCCAGTTCCAATTTAATTTTGTTGACCCACGTTTTGCTCCCTGTTGTCCCTGAGCCATAAAAACAGGAGGCAGCTTTCTGCCTTTAAAGCCCTTGTTAGTTTGTTTTCTTTGGAATGAGCTGCTTATGTTAGCAAAATTCTAGATTCCTGGTTTTATTACTTTATTTTGCTTTCTTTTGCTTTCAGAAATTGCATTTAACAAATAGTTGCATAGATCAGCAAGGAATGAACCTAGTTCTATACTGCACATGTTAATGAAACTTTTGAAACCAGAGAAGTTTCAAATGTACAATGCTGTAGTGGAGGCAATGAATAAAAGATGTTGGAGTGATGATGATTTCTTAGAAGCAATGTCTGAATGAATTTTTAGGAGGTGCAGCTAAACAAAATCCTTAAACTCCTTGCTGACAGCAACCGCATTAGTGTAGGCTTTACCTACGCTAGGCTGGCAGCAGCTATAGCCATGCAATGCAGAGGGGAAGATTCATAAAACAAGAAACAGCAACTGAGCATGTCTATTTATCACAGTCAACAGAAAAGTGAAATTACGTAAGTAACGCTCGCAGTCCTTTTAGAATTTGGGTTTGACCTCAAACATCGTAGGGTATAAACCTACAGGTGGCAGGATCAGTGTTTCCTAAATTGTATCTGCTGTTTACTGAATTAATTTGTTCTAAAGAAAGCACTTAAACGTAAAAAAGAAGAAATCTGAATAGTATCTTTAAGGAAATTGGGACTTGAATAAATACTGTAAAAGAGGAGTCCTGTGAAAAGTCAGGCTGCCTCCTTTGATAAGAATGTCAAGCATTTAGGGGTTTCCAAGCCTCTGATTTCCCAAATAATGGGGTCAACTTAAAAGCTGGTCGTAGAGCAGAACAGATTTCTTTTAAAAGCTTTTAAACTGTTACTGCTTCAGAAGATTGTCATGGTTTTTAATAATGCAAAGAGAAAATTTTATTTTGTTGCTGGTTTAAGGGGCACCACTTCCAACTTTTCTGAATTGTTTTAGAGGAACCGGCTGGCAGACCTTTTGAAAAGCTGGGGAAGCGACTTCAAAGGGAAGAGAGCCTTTGTCCGCTAAGCAGGTTTACGACCACTGATGCAAACCCTAACTAAGGGCTGAAAAGAATACCCGGTGCATCTTTATGGAGAGCCTTAAGGAAGATGAACAAGTCAAATGAGATTAAAGATAGTTCAAATCCTAGCACCAATGACCAAGACACAACAGTCCTACAGATGTGCTTTTCTCAGCACAGTATATAATCATACCCTTCGTCTCTGCCATCGCTGCGTTGCTACTTGAAGTTAAATGCTGTAAGAATCTTAATGCCACATTCATGTTGCTACAAAAGTCGTTGATGATTTATTTAAGTCGCAGGAGGTACGTGTAAAGTTATTTTCCAGTAATGGACAGAATACTTTACCTTTACAGTAACCATCCAAATGATTTCAAAAGAACTCTCCTACATTTCAATAAATAATGCTTGCAAAGCTCTTTTCCCATAGAAAATAGCAAAAAATATCACTCTTCCTTAAGTGACTAAAGTACATTTTAAATCATAAAATTCAAGCTTCAGGAGATAAGAGGAGAGCACATGATATCATGTCAGCTTAAGGCGATATTTCAGTGAAAAAATTTTCAATGAAAAAACGTTTGGAAACTATATTTAAAAAGGAACAGCGGGATCTTAGCAAAGTCAAAACTTTCTTCTAGTTATCACATCCAGAAGAAGATACGCCTTGCTGGATTAACAAGAAATTGTTTTGCATTGCTGGGTCTTCCCTGCTATTTTTTCAGCTTTGGTGATGTTACAAGACAGAACAGGATCAGGACATTTTAAATCCATCAGTAAATTCCCAAAAAGACCACCTTCTGTCTGTACACAAAGCTGTAAGAGCTGAGCCAAACATAGGAACTCATTTAAAGAAAAAATATCTCCCTAAAAAGAAATCAAACTAGAGATCAATTGAAAAACTGCCCTCACGATGAAATATGAGATACTCTGCCTGCTATTTCTGGATGAGATAATATTATGCGACACATTAAAATATAAAATATTTGAGTGTGCTCCTTTTTATGTTTTATGCTGAGAAGACAGTTAATTATGATAAGTCACAGACAGCCAAACAGTCATTTCTGAATTATTATTCTATGATTGCAGAGGCTGGAGGGCATTTTTAAATGGCAAATTAATTATGTGATTTTATGTCAATCTAAAATCCAAATTAAATGAAGTAGCAGTGAATCCAACTATCTTTTTACCTACTTCTTGCAAAAACAAATGATTTAAGTACTGTCTCAGAAGGATACATCAACCAAACCAAATTACATAAAGACAGTCTTCTAAAAATCATTTTACAAATTTCACGATTTCTGAAGTTGCTTCATATGACAAACACTGAGGAAAAACAATAAAAAGTTTGAAATCAATGGAGAAGTACACATGTACTGACAGAATATGTGTCATCTGGACAAAAGTGCTTTCAGCAAAATGTAAGTACATCAAGAAAACTCATTTGCTGCTTCTATATTGATTATTTAGCAAGTTTCGGAGTTTAACTGCATCAAAGTGATGACTGTAAAATAGGATATAAACTCTGTATATTAATGTCATATACGGAACAGCCACAGTGAGCATTTCAGTAACAGCCAGCTGGTTAAAAACCCATTTGACTGGCACAAAAAGGTTAGCTCTGTGGCGGATGTGAGATCTTACTAAAGCCATACCACACACTAATTACTGAAGTGTTCCTAAAATTTCATTTTGAATAATCTTTCCCTTGCAAACATGCATTTTCATGTACCAATGTAATCTTTTCACATTCTATAGGAACTTCATTGTTGTCTGGTTCTTCACATGACACTCCATCAGCCTTTCCTCCAATTCCTTCAAACTACTTCCCATCTGTTCAAACTTTTTTACAACAAAAGTACAACCTTATGCCTAGGTCTGTTTTTG